CAGCTACTTGGAAGGCTGAGGCAGAAGAATCGCCGGAGCCCAGCAGGTCGAGGCTGCGGTGGCCAGGAGGGGCCACTGCACTCCAGTCTGGGTGACAGAGTGAGACTCCAAATCAAAAACAAACAAACAAATTAAAAAAACCCAGCGATTTAACCAGGCTTACATAATAAACCCCTTCTACTGGACATAAAAACTAGAATAAATAACCAGGTAGGAGTGTAGTGGCACAATCACTGCTCGCTGAAATCTCTTTTGACCTCAGCCTCCCGTGTAGCTGGAACTACAGGTGCATGTCACTACACCCAGCTGATTAAAAAAAATTTTTTTTGTGGCGACAGGGTCTTGTTATGTTGCCTAGGCTAGTCTTGAACTCCTGGGCTCAAGCAATCTTCCTTGGTCTCCCAAAATTAAGGGTTGCAGACCTGATCCATCTTGCTTGGTCAGCAGTCTTTTATTTCAGTTTGGCTCATTATGAAGTATTGTTTCCTAATTTGGCTTTTGTTGTGTATAATGAAAGCATATAAAATATCTTTTAGGTGTCTGTTTTCTTAAGTTATTGTTAACGCGTGAACATTGATTCTCACAGTTTATATTGTATTAATTTAGTAAGCTGGGCGTGGTAGCGTGCGCCTGTAGTTTCATGAAGCTACTTGGAAAGCTGAGGTGGATCACCTAAACCCAGCAGGTCGAGACTGCGGTGGCTGTGAGCAGGCCACTGCACTCCAGCTTGGGCCACAGAGTGAGACTCCAACTCAGAAAAAAAAAAATTAGTGTTATGGTAGAAATGCTAATATAAGTTGTGTCAAAATTTGTAGCTATTCTTTTTTTTGGAATCTGCAATGACATTTTTTTTAAACCCAGAGTGAGGTTCTAAAGTTAATGCATAAAGTGAAAATCTAGCATAGGTATAGAGAGGCAGGAACTGGACCTCTTGAGGAAACTTCAAGTTATGCCCCTTATTTATTTCATACTCTTACGCAGAACAAATACTCACTGAGTAAAATTTCAAGCATAATAAGCTGCCTATTTAAAGTTTATTTTTTATGTCTTACTGGTTTTTTTTGTTGTTTTTTTTTGCTGAATGCTTATATTTGAACTTTCCTAAGATAAATATGCATATAATGCAATTCTGCTGTATTTAGATAGCTAGTTGACTTCCATTTGAGGAGTTATTATGTAATTCATAAACTCTTATAAGCTAGGACAAATTTTTACTTGAATCAGTAAAGTCCATATCATTATGATCAGAGTTAGTGACTAACTTTTTATCTCAAGTATGAGAATTTTCCAGAAGTATTGATTGTAACAAAGTGGCTCAAACTCCTTAAATATGTCTCATGTTTTACATCCCCACGGTGTAGTTTTTTGTTTGTTTTTCCTTCAGAAAGTAACCCTAAAATCACAATTATACTGTTAATCTCTTTATAGATTATAATTTCTCTTCCTTTTTTCCTCATCTTTTCTCATACTGTGTATTTGTTACAGAAAAAAGTTTGCTTCAAAAATGGATATGGTGTCTTCAGAGGCTAATGAAGAAAAGTAAGTTAATTTAATGTAGCTAAAAATGTTATACTTTATTAGGGAAAGATATTTTTCCAACTAGTAAGACCTATTAATAACTTCTGAAATCTTTTTCCATTGTGTTCAGGGAAAAGAAGTAAATATTACAAAATCATAGCCCTCTTGCCATTGCCATATCTTTGTATAAACTTACCTAGAATAAAAACTGAATGAGACTTTAGACCCCACCTTCCATCTCTTCAATTTACGGAAAAAATTGAGGCCTAGGACGATGAAATGATATATGAAAAATTGACATCATAACCCGGGCTCGGTGGCTCAGTCTGTAATCCTGTGCTTTGGGAGGCTGAGGTGAGTGGATTGCCTGAGCCTGTGGGTTCAAGACCCACCTGGGCAACTTGGCGAGACCTCATCTCTACAATAAATCAAAAAATTAGCCGGGCATGGTAGCAGGCGTCTGTAGTTCCAGCTACTTGGAAGGCTGAGGCGGAAGGATCGCCGGAGCCCAGCAGGTCGAGGCCGCGGTGGCCGGAAGCAGCCACTGCACTCCAGTCTGGGCGACAGAGTAAGACTCCAACTCAAAAAAAATAAATAAATAAAATAAAATTGACATCACAAACTTGTGGCCTTTTTGCAGCTTACAGCCATAATGTTTTTGTCCTACACATGTTTTTATTTTTTAGAGACAGGGTTCTGTTATGTTGCCCAAGCTAGAATTGGATTCCTAGGCTCAAGTGAGTCTCCTATGTTAGCCTCCTGAGTAGCTAGAACTATAGGCCAAACCACTGCTCCTGGCTTTAACACATTTTTTGTTTTTGTTTTATGGTTTAAAAAATTTTTTTTTATGGAGAGTTGCACAGGCTGGTCTCAAACTCCTGGCCTCAAGTGATCCTCCTACTTTAGCTAGGATTATAGGCATGAGCCACCATGTTTTTAAAGTTTTGAATTAGTTGCCAAAATGTCAAAATCTCAAGATCTTGTATAACAATTGAATTTTCACCTTCTCTTGAAAAATCAAGTGTGTCAGCACTGGGCTCACATTCTTGTTTGACAATTAACCAGAGCAAAGGAATAGTTGTGACCTTCAGATGAGGCAGGCATTCTCCAGGGCATTATAGTCTCAACACTACCTTTTTTTTTTTTTTTTTTTTTACACATAGCAAATTATCTGTTTGGCCTCATAGGCATTTGAATTTTTAAAACCTGGTGTAAAAAAATCACATTTCAGTAAAACCAAAACTAGAGTTTCTTGATTTGTAGCCCATTTATCTTTTGTTTTTTTTTTTTTGAGTTGGAGTCTCACTCTGTCGCCCAGGCCACCGCAACCTCGACCTACTGGGCTCCGGCGATTCTTCCGCCTCAGCCTTTTGAGTAGCCGGAATTACAGGCATGCGCTACTGCGCCTGGCTGATTTTTTGATTTATTGTAGAGATGAGGTCTCGCCGCCCAGGCAGGTCTCGAACCTGCGGGCTCAGGCAATCCACTCACCTCAGCCTCCCAAAGGCGCGGGATTATAGGCTGAGCCAACGAGCCCAGCTATATCCCATTTATTTTATGTTATTGTGCCTCTGTGACTATGGTAAATTTTGTTGTACTAATTATTTATTTATTTATTGAGTCAGAGTCTCACTCTGTTACCCAGGCCACAGTGCAGTGGCATGCTCACAGCCACCGTAACCTGGATTTGTTGGGCTCAGGAGAGCCTTCTGCCTCGGCCTTCCAAGTAGCTGGAACCACAGGCATATTCCCAGCTGGGTTTTTTTTTTTTTTTTTTTTATTGTAGAGACAAGGTCTTACCATGTTGCTCAGGCTGGTCTCTAACCCCTGAGCTCAGGCAATCCTCTCACCTCTGCCTCCCAAAGTGCTGGAATTACAGGTGTGAGTCACTGCACCTGGCTATGTGCTAATTATTATTTAAGAGAAAGTCTTATAGTGCACAATGTGTATTTTTAAATATTGAATTCCTAAATATGGAATTTAAAATCTTGTAATATAAATTTCGCCAGCCAGTGTGCTAAGTGAAAGTGATAGTCAATTGAAAAGCATGTAAATTGGGTGCAGTGGCTCACGCCGATAATCCCAGCACTTTGGGATGCCAAAGTGAGAGGACTGGCTGAGCCCACAAGTTCAGAATCAGCTTGGGCTACTTGGCAAGACATCATCTCTACAATACATCAAATTAGCCTGACTTGGTGGTGTGTGCCTGTAGTTCCAGTTACTTGGAAGTCTGAGGCGGAAGGATCATCTGAACCCAACAGGTCAGAAAAGAAAAGCACGTAAGGGGTGCTGTGGATTTTAGAAATTCAGTCTTTTATCAATGTGTACATAAATCTTTTTTCTTTTTTCAGTGACAATATAGACAGACCTGTTAGAAGACGGCATTCCTCAGTAAGAAAGATTTGCTTAAATTAATTGTTACTTTTATTGAATAATAACTACATATCACAGTAATTTTGACTCTAGCTTCACCATCTCACCCACACTGGCTTCCTATTGATCTCTGGATAAAGACTTAAATATTTAACCACGTTTCATAATTCTGTAACTGTATAATCTTATGAATTATGCATTTAGAATGCATATCTTATGAGCTTCATAGTAGTTTTATGAATTTTATGCTATGTAAGTTATACTTCAATAAAGCTATTTAAAGCAAATATTTAACCTGGTTTACAAAACTGCTGCAAGAGACAAAAATCCAATCCAAACTGATATAAGTACAAAATGTATTGGGTTATGATACAAAAAAATTCAAAGATAGAGATGACTTTTGCAGAACTCACTGACCAGGAGTTTTTAACATTGTCACCACTTCTAGAATTTCTTTTCTCTTTTTTTGCTCTGACTACTTCTTTTGAGTAATCTCTGTCAGTAGATAGACTCTCTCCCTGTGATAACTGTGGTATATCTTGCTCTTTTTACTTCCGGATTCAAGACCTACCTAAAATATAGTGTCTTTTTCCTCAAGATAGAAAAGACTCAGAATTGGATAATGTTGACTTGATTATCCTGATATGAGTCAAGTTCTCATTCTTTTTGTTTTTGTTTTTGTTATTTTTGGAGGGGTCCTCATTCTTGAACCAATCATTGACAAGAAAATATCAGATTGTTCTGGACAGGGCTACAAGTTGTACCTAGAGTTGATGTGTAACTTTACTCAGACCACATGGGATAAGAGTAAAATAATTGGGGAGGGTGGGCAGATAGAAGGGAATAGATTTAAATAGATATTTAAATCTGCCACATACTATAACCCTGACCTCTATGAATTTGAGGAGTTTCAGAGGTTTTTATGGAAATTTTCCTTTTCTACTCATGGTGTAACTTGAAATAAACTGATTCTTAATAAATATGCCAGTTTTTAAAAATAATTCTAGTTATTACCTTTAGATTTTGAAACCTCCAAGGAGTCCTCTTCAGGACCTCAGAAGCGGAAATGAAACAGTTCAGGTAAGGTGGTTACAAGTGCTCTATAGGTTACTATTTTCAGTGATAAAAGTCAGAAACTTTATTAGCTATATGAAAAGAGAGCATCATAAATAATTCCCACTTGAATGTGTACAAGTAAGCATTCCATGACCTTTAGGTTAAAATCCAAATACTTGCTGGCATTCATGATTTTTTTTCTCTTTGAGTTGGAGTCTTACTCTCTCTCGCCCAGGCTGGAGGGCAGTGGCACACTTCCCGCCACCGTAGCCTCAACTTGTTGGGCTCAGGTGATCCTTCCGCCTCAGCCTTTCAAGTAACTGGAACTATAGGCACACATCACCATGCCTGGCTAATTTTTTTTTTTTAATTTACTGTAGAGATGAGGTCTCGCCAATTTGCCCAGGCTGGTCTCAAACCCATGGGCTCAGGAAATGCTCTCACCTCAACCTCCCAAAGTGCTGGGATTATAAGCATGAGCCATTGCACTCAACCAACATTCATGATTTCTAACCTCTATTTACTTTTCCAGCCTTCTTTCTTGCCACTCTTACATATGTAGCCCACTATTAAAAATTGCTTACTATTCCCCAAATAAGACATGAGTTGTTGTGTTTGGGGAATATATACTCTTCCTTCTATCTAGATGACTAGTCTCTCATTTTTATCCTAACATTTTATTTTAAAAATTTAAAAAATATGCTGGGCACAGTGGCTCAAGCTGTAATCCCAGCACTTTGAGAGGCTGAGGCAGAGGATTGCCTGAGACCAGGGATTTGAGACCAGTTGGGCAATTTGGTGAGAACTTGTCTCTATAATAAATCAAAAAATTAGTTACGTGTGGTGGTACACACCTGTAGTTCCAGTTACTTGGAAGACTGAGGTGGAAGGATTGCCTGAGCCCGGAAGGTCAAGGCTGCAATGGCTGAGAACATGCCACTGCACTCCAGCCTGGGTGAGAGTGGGACTCAAAAAAAAAAAATTTTTAAGCTATACCAAAAAGTAGAAAGAATCTTAGAGTGAAGGGTCATATATTCATCACCTAGATTCTACAATTAACACTTTTTCATACTTGCTTTATCATAAATCTGTACCCTGCTTCTTTATTTGGTTAATTTCTCCTTATCCTTCAAAACTCAGCTTTGGCATTACTTCTCTCAGAAAATCATCCCTTAACACCTTCTATTGTAATTGTTTACCTTTTTCCATTCTAAATTAAGAACTCTTTGAGGGTATAAACTTTTTTTCTCTTTTTATTATTTTTTTGAGTTGGAGTCTCACTCTGTCGCCCAGACTGGAGTGCAGTGGCCGCTCCCGGCCACCGCAGCCTCGACCTGCTGGGCTCCAGTAATCCTTCCGCCTCAGCCTTCCAAACAGCTGGAACTACAGGTGCGCACTACCATGCCAGGCTCATTTTGGTTTATTGTAGAGATGAGGTCTCACCAAGTTGCCCAGGCGGATCTCGAACCCGCGGGCTCAGGCAATCCACTCACCTCAGCCTCCCAAAGGCGCGGGAGTACAGGCTGAGCCACTGAGCCCTACTTTTTTTTCTCTTTTTAAATCTATGTTTTTCTTTTTTATAGAGATGAAGCCTTGCTATGCTGCCCAGGCTGGTCTCGAACTCCTGGGCTCAAGCGATTCTCCCACCTTGGCTTCCCAAAGTGCTGGGATTACAGGTGTGAGCCCCTGTGCCCAGCCGAGGGTAGGAATTTTATCATGTGTATTTTATATTTATTGTGTGTGGTACATAGTTGATTTTCAATACATTTTGGTTATTGATAAAATGCATATAGTTTTAGAGACCATATAATTCTGGTTGCTCACTCTGCTTTGGCCTCTATAATCTTTTTGTTTCTGTAATACATCAAGCCTTTTCCTGCTTTAGGACCTCTGCACACATTCTGCCTAAACTCAGCTCTGGTTGACCCAACTCTTCATCTGGCTAACTTCTAACGAATCCTTCAGGTTTCAAATATACTGCCTCAAAGGAATCTTCTGTGATTCTCAGGTTAAATAAGATCTCTTATGTAGTTTTTCTTCATTGTACTTATCAGCCTTTGAATTTTATATTTTTGTGAATTTTTGTTTTTATGTCTTTCTCATCATTAATCTAATCTCCAGTAGAGTACAGATTGCATCTGTTTCCTTTACTACTATTTTTTCATCACCCAGCATAGGCTCTGGCTCTGGTATGTGTTTTTGTTTTTTAACTTTTGCAGTGACTTTAAAAACTTTGTTTTTTGTTTGTTTGTTTTGTTACTGAGGTCTCAGTATGTTTCCTAGGCTAGTCTTGAACTCCTGGGCTCAAGCAATCCTCCTGCCTCAGCCTCCCAAGTAGCTGGGATTATAGGTGTGTGCCACCATGCCCAGCAGTTATTCTTTTATTTATTTATTTTTTGAGTTGGAGTCTCACTCTGTCGCTCAGACTGGAGTACAGTAGCCGCTCCCGGCCACCGCAGCCTCGACCTGCTGGGCTCTGGCGATCCTTCCGCCTCAGCCTTCCGAGTAGCTGGAACTACCGGCACGCGCTACCACGCCCGGCTCATTTTTTGATTTATTGTAGAGATAAGGTCTCGCCAAGTTGCCCAGGCGGGTCTGGAACCCGTGGGCTCAGGCAATCCACTCACCTCAGCCTCCCAAAGGCACGGGATTACAGGCTGAGCCACTGAACCCGGCTTAGTTATTCTTTTAATTGAATGAGTATTGAATGAGTAAATGCAGATTCATAGAGCTGCATTTTTGTTTTGTTTTGTTTTTTTAAAGAGACTGGGCCACGCTATATTGCCTAGGCTGAACTTGGACTTGTGGACTCAAAAGATCTTTCCACCTTGCCCTCCCCAATAGCCTCATAGAACTTTAAAACAAATAGAACCTAACCAGTAATTTTGACTCTAGTTTCTTCATTTTACACATGAGAAATATGAGGTCCAGAGAGCTTAAATGTTTTGTCCAAGCCACACAACTAGCTAGTGGTAGACCTCAAATTGAAACTCTAATCCCCTAATTTCTAGTTCAGTACTCTTTCCAATATACCACACGAATTTCAGGGGTTGGTTTTTTGTTTTTTTGTTTTTTTTTTTGGTAAGAAAAATATTTGTATTTGTTAACCTCAGTTTTACCATGTCAGTATTATCAATGCCTTTTTTTTTTTGAGTTAGAGTCTCACTCTGTCGCCCAGAGTGGAGAAAAGTGGCCGCTCCCGGCCACTGCAGCCTTGACCTGCTGGGCTCCGACGATCCTTCTGCCTCAGCCTTCCAAGCAACTGGAACTACAGGCATGCGCTATCACACCCGGCTAATTTTTTGATTCATTGTAGAGATGAGGTCTCGCCAAGTTGCCCAGGCAGGTCTCGAACCCGCGGGCTTAGGCAATCCACTCACCTCAGCCTCCCAAAGCGCGGGATTACAGGCTGAGCCACCGAGCCCGGCTATCATTGCCATTTTAAGCCAAGGGCTACCTGTAGTATTTGCTAGGTCCTTAACCACATAGACTGCTTGATGCAGAGGGGATACCATTTCTGATTTTTTCTTATAAAAAAACTTATGCTCAGGTTTTCAGAATTAACCCAGTAAAATTCTCTGTAGATTTTTGTTTGTTTATTAAGCATGGTATCTACGTGAGTAGAAATGTTTGCTCTTTTTGAGGAAGGTGTGGAAGGAAATTAAAAATAGTATATTCTCAGGCCGGGCGCGGTGGCTCATACTTATAATCCCAGCCCTTTGGGAGACCAAGGTGAGAGGATTGCCTGAGCCTACGGGTTTGAGACCAGCCTGGGCAACTTGGCGAGACCTCATCTCTACAATAAAGCAAAAAATTAGCCAGGCATGGCATGGTGCATGCCTGTGGTCCCAGCTACTTGGAAGGCTGAGGTGAAAGAATCAGCTAAGCCCAGTAGGTCGAGGCTGCGGTGGCTGTGAGCGTGCCACTGCACTCCAGCCTGGGTGACAAGAGTGAGACTTCAATTCAAAACCAAAACAAAAAAAGATGGAAATTCTGACACACATTACAACTAGTGAAGAATTAATTCAGAATAAGACTTCATCTGCTTATAGTACTCTAGCAACTAATTCACAGTGATTTTATTAACAATCATACTATATATTCTCTGTTCTCAGGAATCCAGTGCTTTAAGAAATAAAAAAAACTCTCGTCGAGTCAGCTTTGCAGATACTATAAAGTAAGTTAAAAGGAGAAATAATTAAAATGCATTTTTGTGTATCAAGCCAAATATGTTGTATTGACTTGGATAATCTGTGTTTTAATTAGATAAATATTAGAGAGTGGTTATTTAAAATATTGTTATTCAGTATTACGTTTAAAAGAGAAACAAGGAAAGCATTCCTTCTAAAGTCAACAACAAAACAATGGTATCCACTGTATTTATTTTTGGGGGATTTTTTTTTTTTTTTTTAATCATAGTCTCACTCTTTTGCCTAGGCTGGAGTATAATGGCATGCTCACAGCCACTACAGGCTCGACCTCCAGGTTTCAGGCGATCTTTCTTACGCCTCAGCCTTCCAAGTAGCTAGAACTATAGGCATGCACCTCCACTCCCAGCTAATTTTTTGATTTATTGCAGAGACGAGGTCTCGCCAAGTTTCCCAGGCTAGTCTCGAATCCCTGGGCTCAGACAATCCTCTCACTTCCGCCTCCCAAAGTCCTGGGATTACAGGCATGAGCCAACACTCCCAGTGATACCCACTATATTTAACATTGTATTGGAGATGTTAACCTAGTACATCTTACAGATTAAATGATTATATGTTGGGAAAATTTAAGGATATCAACTGAAATACTACTACAGATAATAGGCAGCAGAATGTAAAATTAATATATGGAAATTGATAAATTTTGTATACATAAACTAGATAGAAGATGAACGATTCTTTTCTCTATTATGTTTTGTTGCTAAAAACTCAAAAGAATATGAAAATTAAAACATTGTCCGGGTGCAATGGCTCACGTCTGTAATCCCAGCACTTTGGGAGGCCAAGGCAAGAGGATTGTTTGAGCCCAGGAATTCAAGACCAGCCTAGGCAACTTAGCAAGACCTTGTCTCTACAAAAAATTTATTAAAAAAAAAAACTGGATATGGTGGCACGTGCCTTTAGTCTCAGCTACTCTGGAGGCTGAGACATGAAGGATCACCTGAACCTAGGAGGTTGAGGCTATGATGAGCCATGATCTCTCCACTGTACTCTAGCCTGGGCAACACAGTGAGACCCTGACTCAAAAAAGAAAAAATACCCCCTTAATCTTCTAGTTTCACTTCTAGGACTTTATCACACAATAAATAAATAAAACACATGTGAATTTCACCAGGAATTTTATTTTATTTTATTTTATTTTTTTAATTTATTTTTTGAGTTGGAGTCTCACTCTGTCACCCAGGCTGGAATATAGTGGCGCACTCACAGCCATGGCATCCTCAACCTGCTGGGCTCAAACAGTCCTTCCACTTCAGCCTTCCTAGTAGGTGTAACTACAGGAACATGCCACCACACCTGGGTGATTTTTTGATTTATTGTAGAGACAAAGTCTTGCCATTTTGCTGAGGCTAGTCTCAAACTCCTGAGCTCAGGCAATTCTCTCACCACCGCCTCCCAAAGTGCTGGGATTACAGACATGAGCCACCGCACCTGGCTTCACCAGGAATTTTAAACAAATAAAAATAATAAGATGCTGCTGAAGTAGTAGATACTAAGGAAGAATTGTACAAGTGGTCCAGATATGGTGGCTCACGTCTCTAATCCCAGCACCTTGGGAGGCCAAGGTAAGAGGATTGCTTAAGGCCAGAGTTCAAGACCAACCTGGACATTATTATGAGACACTATCTATGTCCAAAAAAAAAAAAAGAGAGAGTTGTACAAATGAAGAAATACCAAGTTCCTAGATAAAAATATTCAGTATCATGTAGATGTCAATTCTAAGTTAACTTTTAAATTTATTTTTAATTTATTTAATTCATTAAGTTATTATATAGCTTATTAATTTATTTTTAATCACTTTTTTTTTTTGGAGTTGGAGTCTCACTCTTGTTGCCCAGGCTGGAGTGCAGTGGCATGCTCACGGCTACCACAGCTTCCACCTGGTGGACAGAGGCGATCCTTCCACCTCAGCCTTCCAAGTAGCTGGAACTACAGATGCACACTACCATGCCTGGCGTGTTTTTGTGATTTATTGCAGAGATGAGGTCTCACCAAGTTGCCCAGACTGGTCTTGAATTCCTGGGCTCAGGCAATCCTCTTGCCTCGGCCTCCCAAAATGCTAGTGTTACAGGCTGAGCCACTGCACTGGGCCTTTTTTTTTTTTTTTTTTAAGTCAGTTTCTCACTGTCACCCAGGCTGGAGTGCAGCGTCACACTCATAGCCACCATAGCCTCGACTTGCTGGGTTCAGGGGATCCTTCCACCTCAGCCTTCCAAGTAGCTGGAACCACAGGCACACACCACCATGCCCTGCTAATTTTTTTATTTATTATATAGAGATGAGATCATGCCAAGTTTCCCAGGCTGGTCTCAAATCCCTGTACTCAGGCAATCCTCTTACCTCCACCTCCCAAAGTGCTGGGATTACAGGCGTGAGTCACCATGCCTGGCTGAAATTCTTACATGTAGTATTTTCATGAATACTGCACTCCAGCCTGGGTGACAGTGAGAAACTGACTTTTTTTTTTGATGTTCAACAGAGTATTTGTATTTCTTTTTTGATTCAAGAAGAGTCAAAGTTGTTTAATAGAGAATTTGATAGAGTTGTTTAACAGACAGTTAAAAATTTCTAGGTTATAGGGACATTTTGTCATTATTTATTAGATATGTTGTAGTCAGATAATTTATATCTGGATTTTATTGAAATTTTTTGTGTTTTTATTTATAATCAGTTTTTCCAAAAGATCCATAGGTACTTGAAAATAAGGTATATTGTATATATTCAGGATGTATAGTTTGACATATATCAATTATATTCACTTGTGAATTATATTATTTGGATTAGTAACTTTAATCTCTCATGAATTATAGTACAGAGGTAAATTCATCGCATTGATAGTATATTTTACTCTTATTTCTCTTTGTATTTCCAATAGTTTTTTTTGGAAATGAATATATTATATTTGCTGGTACATAGTCATAACTATTAATCCTCATTTGGAATTATACTTTCTAATATTATAAAATATTCACCTTAGTTTACAGAATCATTCAATGTCAGAAGAAAACAGAACCATATTAGCAAGTTCCTTAAAGAAAAAAATGTTGGCTGGACTCAGTGGCTATATTCACAAAGTGAATATAATTGATATATATCAAACTTACATCCTGAATATATGAAATATACCTTATTTTCAAGTACCTATGGATCATTTGGAAAAATTTTGATTATAAATAAAAACAAAAAATTTCAATAAAATTCAGTTATAAATTATCTGACTACAACATATCTAATAAATAATGACAAAATGTCCTTACAGCCTAGAAATTTTTAGCTCTCTATTAAACAACTCTATCAAATTCTCTATTAAACAACTTTGATTCTTCTTGAATCAAAAAAGACATACAAATACTCTATTGAACATAAAAAAAAAAAAAAAAACACAAAAATTTCACCCAGTCTAACATCAGGATTTCGGTTTATGTTACATAAAATATATCTGTATAAATATATATATCTGTGTCTATACATACTTTTTTTTTTAAGTCAAGGGTCTCACTCTCTGGCCCAGGCTGAGCACAGTAGCACCATCATGGCTCACTGCAGCCTCCAACTCCTGTGATTCTCCTGCCTCAGCCTTCTGAGTAACTGGGACTACAGGCATACACTACCATGCTTGGCTGTTTTTATTTTTTGTGGAGAGGAGGCCTCACTATGTTGTCTAGGCTCAGTCTCGCTATAAGAGTATTTTTGCCGGGCTCTGTGGCTCAGCCTGTAATCCCCCCCTTTGGGAGGCTGAAGTGAGTGGATTGCCTGAGCCCGTGGGTTTGAGACCCGCTTGGGCAACTTGGTGAGACCTCCTCTCTACAATAAATCAAAAATTAGCCAGGTGTGGTAGCACACGGCTGTAGTTCCAGTTACTTAGAAGGCTGAGGCAGAAGGATTGCCGGAGCCCAGCAGGTCGAGGCTACTGTGGCTGGGAGCGTGCCACTGCACTCCACTCTGGGTGACAGAGTAAGACTCTAACTCGAAAAAAAAAAAAAAAAGAGTATTTTTGTATCCATTTACCTTGTATACCTTTGTATAGTGTGTTTGGCCATGTATGAGCTACCGTAAAGTTAGTCTGTTTTCTCTTCTTAACTCAAATTATCTTTAATGATGTATCTTTGCACTGTTATATATGCTTAAACCTCTGTTAAAGTATCATCATTTTACATGATGTTCTTTGTCAGTTAAGATAGATGAGGCAATTACTATTTTTTTTTTTACCTCTCAACTTTTGCTCCTCCTCATTCCCCTCTTAGTTTTATTAGTTGTATCTCCCCTCACTGTTTAACATTAGAGCAACTGTCATGTTTAACTCTTTTTTTTTTTTTTTTTTAGTTGAAATCTCACTCTCTTGCCTAGGCTGGAGTGCAGTGGCACGCTCATGGTGACCACAACCTTGACTGTGCCACTGAATTCCAGCCTGGGTGACAGAGTGAGACTCTGACCGAAAAAAAAAAAAGCAAATCAAATGAATCAGAATACTTGTTTGAGCAGATGAGTATACACCTTATAGGATATTCTACCTAACAAGGTAAATTATGTAAATATGGCTTGCTTGTCATGGAATCTTAACTATTATTTGAATGATTCAGAGTATTTAATAACATCAGGCTATGAAATCTAATGCATCCATTTCTACGATATATATCTGCTGCAGAGCCTTGAATGCCTCTGTCTTTATACTTGAATAGATATGACTAAGATTTGATTTAATAACTCATTCTATCCTTCCCCCTTGGTTTTGACTGATTTTTCTTTCACATTATTTCTTTAGGTATAATCACGTAATTGTAAAAATAACCATTTCTAATTTTCTGTCGGTCATTTGATTGTTCCTTGTGCTATGTTAGGTAAGGTTGATTACCTTTTTTCTTTATTTTTTCAAAACCTCAGCTCTGCAGGAACATTTTTTCTGTTGAGTTACTACCTTGGGATTATATTCTCCAAAGTAGAATTGCCAGGCTTAAAGGAAAAATCAGTT